GGATGTGATCTTTTGTCCCAGCGGTATAGTTTACTTTGTCTGGTCCCCGGGAGTTGATAGTTGTAAACTAACACTGTGGTGTCCATAGAGTACCTCATATAGATCCATTGTTAGTATTTGGTGTGTTTTAATTTCACTATTTTACTATGACAAAGTATCAGGATAGGATTATTCAGTAGATGTAGTGTGGGGCATCTTAAATATAATAAGGTTAGGGTATTGTAGATCATTTCCTTCAGTTTGAATTTTGTTCAGTGCCTACCAGTGGATCTAAAATGTGGTGATTTATACCTGTAATTATAACACTCCAGGAAGCCCAAGTAAGAGGATCACTTGAGACCAGGAATTGGGAGACCAGCCTGGGCAATACAGCAAGATTCCACCGACAAAAAAAAAAAAAAATGTATAAATTAGCTGTGTGTGATGGCATGTGCCTCTAGTCCCAGCTACTTGAGAGGCTGAAGCAGGAGGCTCACATGTGCCCAGGAGTTTGAGGTTGCAATGAGCTGTGATGATGCTACTGTACTGTAGCTCAGGCAACAGAATGAGACCCTAGTCCTCTGGTTATCTCAAATAAGCACAAAAGTATTTTTTTCTTCTTATGCAAGAGTTGTAGAATTAGCAATTGAGAGATCATTAGTGATTTATGTTACCACATACCGGAAAAAATGAAAACATTTTCTGAGTCTTTTTTAAAATTAGCAAAAAGCAATAAGGCAGATACAGAAAATGCTTATTTAAAAAGATAGAATTCTACAGAGATGCAGTGAAATCCTCTCAGATGATGTCTTACATAATGTCCTTATGCTATTAAGAGCTCTGGAAACCATGTCAGTAGATAGTTATTAAGTGCCTACAATGCGTAAAGTAATACAGTAGATAAAAAGAAGTGTAAGACATGGTACTCATTGTAAAAATGATGTGTAATTAACAGATGCCTAAATGCTTCAAGATAAAAATGGAGGAAATGCCACATTATCTAATATATTTAATATGATGGCTAAATTATTTTTAGAGGTAATAACTCAGAAATTATGATTACAGGTAAGGATTCCTAGCAGAAGTAGGATTCAGGCTTGGCCTAGCATTCCCAGGGGTACAAAAGAAAGGGAAATCAATTATCTATAATTCTAAAATGAAAAAGTCTTGAATTATGAAGCTGGAAATTTTGAGGAATAGTCAGTGCATTTTAACTCATTAATGGTTATTAAGTACTAAGTGTCAGAAAGGTGCTTTAATAAAAAATTCTAGGTTTCCCAAGAATTATTGTCCTTATAATGATTTTTGACAGTCCAGTGTCTTTCAGTTATAATTATTCCTATTTAATGTACTACTACCTGTTTTCATGTAAGAGTTATTAGCGATGCCAGGAGACAGAGATAATTTTCCTTATGGGGAGAAATACTTGTATAATGCAATTAATAGTCCACATGGAGGCCACCAGTTATGATTTTCAAACTTCACCATCTTTTTTTCCGTTTTTATTTGTCAAAGGAAAGCTTTTTCAAACAAAGTTGTACTCATATCCTCAATATATAAATCTGATAAAGTCAGAGCTGCTCTGAGTAAAACACAATGAAAATGCCTGGGCTGGGCGTCTCCCTTTGAGATAGACTCCGTGGAACGCAGTGGCTCCGTGGTAACTGGGTCAGATACCTAGTGAAGCTCATCTTTCTTTTTCTGTCAGATCTAACACATACAAAACTCCTTCCCAGGCTTGCCTCTCAAGAGTTGCTGCACTCTAGCCCTCTTCATCTCAGGATGTCAGCTCTGTCTTGTAGTTGTTTTTATTGGAAATCTTGGAATTATTTTTATTTTTTTTCCTCTCATATTCCACATTCAGTCCATTAGAAAATCATCTGGTGGATTATCTAATGTCTCTGTCTTCTAAGTCTAGTCAGCACTTGACTGTTCTTACTATTTCTGCACTGTCATGTTGGTATGGGGCACCACGGACTCTGACTTAGATTACTGGGTGGTAGCTTCCCATCGGGCTTCCTGCTCCTGCCTGCCTTTTTCTCCGTAGGGTCTAGTCGTTAGAGCAGGAACTGGCAAACAGTGTTCATATCACATTATGGCATTGCTCCTTTTAGTGAACTTGTACTACAGTACCTTCTTTTTAAAAAGCACAACAGAATAAAATTTAGAAGTCTCAGCATATAACCAAACACTTTGCTGCATGAAGTGTCTTTACTTATAAAAATACTAGGTTTATTTGGCAGCACCTGTGGCTCAAAGGAGTAGGGTGCCAGCCCCATATGCTGGAGGTGGTGGGTTCAAACCCAGGCCCTGGCCAAAAACTGCAAAAAAAATAATAATAATAATAAAAATACAAGGTTTCAAAAAAGCTCCTTTTTCTTAAGTTTAAGATAATAGTATCAAGACTATTTTGGCTACTTGTGGGTGACCACTAAAGTTAAAATACTTTCTCAGAGGCATAGTTGTTTCTTCATCCATGAGAATTAAAAGTAAGGCCTGACAACATTTTATTAGGGAAAAAATTCTGAATTTTTATTTTTAAGATACTTAACATGTGCCAAGAGTGTGAAATGGCTACTTTTAAGAAAGGAAGAGAAGCATTCTCAGGCTACTTAGAAATACAATGTCCAGATCACAGAAATAATTAGCCTTCTATATATGATACTACTCAACCTATATGCAAGTATTTCGTTTAGTTTTAATACTGTATGATGAAGATTTTTAAAAATGCAAGTATGTCTTGGTTTGTTTTATGGAATGTTTATAGAACTGATAGTATTTTGGAAGGAAAGAATACACAGTTTGTATTTTGAGGTTTATGTGGATACCTTGTTGTGACTGTTGTCTGTGGACTTTTAATCTTGTTATCTAGTTATCTTTTTATCTGGAAATTTGGAGAGATTTACACTGATGCGCACAGTAAGGTTGTTAATGCTTAAAGAATATAGCCATCCTTCCTCTCTGTGGAAGATTGGTTCTGTGACCCCATAAATCCAAAATCCACAGATGCCCACGCAGCTCTTTATATATAAAATGGCATAGTATTTGCATATAACCTACCACATCTTCTCATATGCCTTTTTGGGGGGACCTTAAACTACAGAAGTTTATTTTCTCACAGTTCTGCATGCTAGAAAGTCCAAAACCAATGTCTGGCTGGGTTTAGTTTCTGGTGAAGGCTCTCTTCCTGGCAGATAGATGGCTGTCTTTCTCACATTCCACATTTAACCTTTATCACCTTCTTAAAGGCCAAAATAGAGTCTGTTTGGGAGTTAGGCCTCCAACATAGAAATTTTGAGATCCTCCCATATACTTCAAACCATCTCTAGATTATTTACAATACCTAACCCAGTGCCCCCACTCATTTCATTTGTGTGCACTCAGTATAATTAACTCAGTGTGCAGCAAATTCAATGTTCTGCATTTTGGAAATAGGTAGACTTTTATTTTTCCAAATATTTTCAGTCCACAGTTGTTTGAATCCATGTATGCAGAGGGCCAACTGTATATGTTTTTTGTATAAAGGTCCTCTTTCTCCTTTATTTTTTTAAACTACCTCTACAGTGATTTTAAATGGTAGATTGGTGGACGAATGATTAATGATAATATTACACTGTTGTAAACTTTCTTAGAGATTGGCTGTGGGAGAACTGACTGAAAACGGTTTGACATTGGAAGAATGGTTGCCTTCGACTTGGATTACAGATACCCTTCCCCGAAGATGTCCATTTGTGCCACAGATGGGTGATGAGGTACTTTTAAATTACCCCATTGTGGGTTTTCTTCAAATAACTTTTTTACTCATTTTTTCTATCTCATGAAATAGAACTCTAGAAAATTATAGCATTTTCAAAGAAGTATCTCATTCTACATGTGAAAATTTTGTTGGCATTTTAGAACCTGTTGTGTTTTTTTTAAATAAGAGGATTCATTGGCAGTTTTCTTTTTCTAAGTTAAAATATATTCATTTTTCTTATTAATGTTTAGTATGCAGCATGTTAAAGGAAAAATAAAATTTAGCATTATATTTTCATTTTATTTCAAAAGTGTGTTAAAGTATTTCAATTACCCAGTGTTATTGTTAGCTCTTTAAAAAGTCTGTAATCTTAGAGTGAGAAATAATACTTCATTTTCAAGAAAATAAAAAATGGCACCACTATTTTAGAACATGTGCTTATGAATTTAGAATGAAATGTGAGAACTTAGATAAAATTTCTCAATCCCTTAAGGTCCATGGCTCCTTATTTTATACACAAATTTTGCAATGAATTCGGTGTTAGAGACTTTACAAAGTGGTAATTGATGGTTAAAAAAAAGAAAAAAACTTTAATACTAGAGTGACAGTCTGAAAGAATTCCCGTGGAGGCCGCACTTGCCTCCAAAGACTTGATGAGCACAGAGCGCTGTTAGTGTGGTGCAGGGACAGACCCTGCAGCATTAAGATGAGACTAACTTAATGTATTATTTCAAGATGGACAGAGGGTTTATAATTTCTTGTTGAATGATTTTCTTTCAAAGTGTTTAAGTTGTCTTTTTAGTTGCTGGTGCTTGAACAGATAGGTCCTTATATTAATGAATAGAATGAAAGTATATAGGACAGTAGCTATCCCAAAATGTTAATTACTAAGATCTTCATAGCATTTTGTAGCAAGTCTTTGGGGTTTTTTTTGTTTTTGTTTTTTGTCTTTTTTTTTTTTTTAGTAAAGGTAAGAATTTATTTGGTGTCAGACTACTGTGGTCAAGTACTAGTTGTACTAGTCAGGAGTCACTTAAATTTAATCTCAAGAAGTGAAAATAAATACAGATGCAGTGCTGGCTTTTTAGAATTTGCATAAAGGTCAAGTAAGAATATATATGTGAAAATATGTTTTTCGTTTTAAACTTCCCTGTATATATACAAAGCAAAACATGTAAGAAGGAACGTAGGTGAACAGTAAACTGATGACTCTGGAGTTACAGTAGTTGTCTTCGTTATGCAACATAGACTTACTGTGAACCCAATAATAAAGTGGGCAAACCAGAATATAGCTGTTTACTCAGAGATGTTCATTTGTATACTAAGTTTTAAGTATATACCTGAAGTAATGTTCTGTAGAACACTTTGTGCTTAAGTGATGTTAGGACAACTTGAGGAAGGGAAGGGAAAAATCAGTGTTAGAATTTCTATGAGCTCAAAGGGCATTGGATTTTCTCCTTGAAGTTCTAAAGGATACCTAGCATCGTGGGTTAAAGGGAACACATCCAGGCTTTTAAATTGTGATTTTATTTACTTTTTAGGTTTATTATTTCCGACAAGGACATGAAGCCTATGTTGAAATGGCCCGAAAAAATAAAATTTATAGTATCAACCCCAAAAAACAACCTTGGCATAAGATGGAACTACGGGTATGGCATTGATACATTATTTAATAGCCTGAAAGATGCAGTAATGGATTAGAGAGTTACTGTTTTCACTGTTAGACACTATATCCTGAGGATGCTGTGCTTAACTGAAGCAGTGTCAGAGGGTACAAGTGTTTAATTTTTAGTCAAAGAAATATAAGATTGAGTGAATGTTTATATTCTAATACAGTTTACAGATGGGGTACAAAATTTAATAAATAGTGAAAATTAGGTAACGTTAATATCTAGGTAAAGTTCATATTTGTTAATTCAGTGAGTATTTCTGCATGTGTCAGAACAGTAAAATTACATTTGGACCTGTGTTGGAAAACTCTTACTTCAGCAAAATATTTCTGATTTTTCTTTTTGCTTTTTTAAATTACAGTATAACTTGCATGCAATAAAGTGCATAAATCTTAAGTTCAGAGCACAGTGAATTTTGCATACACATAGTTGTCACCATCCAGATCAAGATTAAAACCAAGAAATGTTTTCTCATATATATTTAGTCATCTGTTTTGTGGTTTATTTTGTAAAGGTGGTTTTTAAATTTTCTTTATCTTTCTCAGGAACAAGAACTTATGAAAATAGTTGGCATAAAGTATGAAGTGGGATTGCCTACCCTGTGCTGCCTTAAACTTGCTTTTCTAGATCCTGATACTGGTAAACTGACTGGTGGATCATTCACTATGAAGTAAGGACTGTTGAAAGAGGCAATGGTTTCTTAGTATTGTAGATTATTTTTCAAGATTCAGATAAATGTGAACACCTTTTAGATATTTTTAGGTATGTGACCTAATCAGTTTGTTTTTATTTATAATTAGATACCATGATATGCCTGACGTTATAGATTTCCTAGTCTTGAGACAACAATTTGACGACGCAAAATATAGGCGGTGGAATATAGGTGGGTAATTTATTTAGAAGCCATAGGTGTTTAAAATGTTTTTTTCTTGATAAGCAGTTAACTGTTTTTCATAATTTAGAAAAAGATAATCAGAGGAATCTTCATGTTTGTAGAAATGTCAGTAGCAAAGTAAGGTGCTGTGTCAAGATATGTTTTAAGTTTTAAGAATGAAAACACTTCAATTTGGTTGATGCTGGCAGTCCACAGATTTTATCTGTTACATTTGGTAACTATCATAAGATTATTTATAACTTCTACATTTAGCTGTTTTATGTGGTGCATTAAATTTTTATCGAATATATTAGTAACAAAAATCAAGTACAAAGCTATAAGAAACCTTCACAAAATGTATAAGTTTAGACTAGGACTAAAGCTGGACTGACATTTTTCTTTGATTAGTTAACCTTATAATCTTTAAAATTAATGTTGTAAACAGGTCTCAAAGAAACTCTAAAACTTCTCAGTCATTTAAGGCACATTAATTTATATACAGGTGGGACAGCACCCGTGGCTCAAGGAGTAGGGCACCGGTCTCATATGCTGGCAGTGGCAGGTTCAAACCCAGCCCCGGCCAAAAACTGCAAAAAAAAAAAATTTATATATAGCTGGATGTGCTGTTCATTAGAACTTCTCTTAAAAATTTTAAACAGGGCCAGTGTTTGTCATCCTGGAATGCAGTGTGGTATACACATATGGCATATGTGGTTTGAAAAAGCACATCTGTTGATACTTAAGTACCAGTCTCACTCTTCCTCATTGAAGACATTGGCAGGGTGATTTGTCTTCTCTTGATTGGCCTTGGTAAACTGAGAAATTTATGTGCTTTGTAAAGAGAAACTAGGAAAATGCAAGTTATCAAAATTATAGTCATGGGAGGTTTTTGAGAAGATTTACGTGCTATGAATCTTAGTTTCCTTGAAGTTTGGAAATGTGTTTCACAGGTTAACAGTGAACAGAAATGTAGGAATGGTGGCTGTCTGTGAAGTCTCGAAAGTACTCATCAAGAAAAAAAGAGTGGAACTTATAAAGTAGCTAACAAGTTTCAGTCTATGGGAAATTGAAGAGTGTTTTTTATATCTTGAGCTATAGAATGGAAGTGGAAAGATGAAATAGGGAAACACAAAATAATTGCTCATGTTCACATCTAAGTGTAGCGCCAAAGCTATGTTACTTAAATCGCTTTGGTTATGAGTAAGTGGGGTTAGGACAACATGAAAAATGGAAGGGGGAAGAGGTGAAGATTACAACTTCTGTGAGCTTGAAGGGTTATTAGATTTTCTCTTTGCAGTTTTAGCCAATACCTTTTACATCTTGCGTTATGTTAATGTAGTGAAAAGCATAAAACTATTTGTTATTAATATATTCATATAAAAATTTAATTCCCAAAGTAAAACAGTTAAATGTAAAAAGCTATAAATAATCTTACGATAGTTACCAAATGTAATAGATAAAATCTGTGGACGGCTGGCCAGGAAATACAAAATCATGTAAGAAAGGAATTGCATGTTATTTTGCTTAGTACCAAGCAATATTTGCATAGTAATAGTAAAAACTGAGTAGAGATTTAATACAGAAATTAAATTGCACACAAACTTTATAGCCACCCTGTATAATGCATGTAATGAGATTACAGCGGTCCCTCTGGATCCATGGGGGTTGAGTCCAGGATTCCCCCTCAGATTCCAAATCTCTTGCATACTCCAGACCCATAGTGGGCTCTGTAGAGCCCTGATGGGCAAAGTTGCCCCTCTCTTTCTTGTATATGGGTTTCACATCCCACCAACGCTGTATTTTCTTTGTTGTTGTTGTTACAGAGTCTCAAGCTGTTGCCCTTGGTAGAGTGCCATGGCTCCATAGTTCACAGCAACCTCAAACTCTTGGGCTGAAGCAAGCCTCTTGCCTCAGTTTTTCTATATTTTTAGTAGAGATGGGGTCTCACTCTTATTCAGGCTGGTCTTGAACTCCTGAGTTCAAGCAATTCACTGGCCTTGGCCTCCCAGAGTGCTAGGATTACAGACATGTGCCACCATGCCCAGCTCAACACTATTTTCAGTCTGCATTTGGTTGCTGATGTAGAGCCTATGGCTCTAGAAAGGCAGCTGTATTTATGGAAAAACATCTTCATGTAAGTGGACTTAGCCAGTTCAAACCCATGGTATTGAAGGGTCAGCCGTAATACTTAATGTCAGAAATTGATGAGTGAAGAGATAGGTAATACTCTTTTTCTGTAAGTAAAGTCAAAAAGATGAAAACCTTTTTCTTCGTTTCGGTTATAAGCCTTTGGTACTTTGATTTTTTTTAATTATTCACCTTGACAGGGTAAATTTTAAATTATTACCTTGATAAGGTAAATTTTATTTTTTTTAAGGACATGTCTCTGCCAGTAAATTTGCAGGACAAGTATGAGAGATCAGAATCCAGGAATATTACAGAAGTGAGCTTAACCAACACAAAGAAATTCAGCAAGCATAGACAAATCAAAGGGATTTTTCAAATTAATTAACATCATAATTTTCTCATTTGGCGCTTACGATTTTTTGTATATTTATAGATAAATATTTCTTCTAAAGCTAACATCTAAATTAATCTTTTATATCTGATATAAATTAGTCTTATATATCTGATATAAATGTATCTACCCACAGACTGCCATTAAAATACATTAATAATAATTTTTACTTCACCCTGTCGTGAGAAAGGTTTTAAGGCCTAACTTCATGGTTACCATTCTACAAACACTGCTCCCTGTGGTTAGGCCCACAGTATCCAGTTCTTCCTTTTTAGTATAATGAGGAGTGTGTGTAGGGACATAAGCAACTGGTTCATGCAACTCATGATTACTAAGAAGTTGTGGTGTCAAGAGTGCGCTTTATTAAATCATACGTGCACTAGCTCAAAGCTCATTGTCAATAATACTCATCTGAGGAGCAACTCAGAGACTCTTAATCTAGTAATAGAACTTTCAACAACATGCAATTATGTTCTGTTAACTTACTCCTGACTCTAATTTTGTATCATATTTCTTTTACCTTGTTTTTATAATTTTTAATTCATTTGACACTGTATGTCTTCATGAATTTTTAAATCCTTTCTGTTAAAAAGAGAACAAATATAAGTTTGGAAATTAAACTGATTCAGACAAAATAAAAAGAACTGATTCAAAGTGGTTGCTAGCTTGATTGATTTTCCTTGACTGTGTTAAATGTAAAGAGTACCTTAATAAGAGGAATTATTTAAAAACTGCATGAAGTAGACATTACCATTTCTTTCTTATAGATGGGGAAAGCGAAGTTCAAAAATAGCTGATTAGTGTGTTCCTAGTCACACAGGTGTGTCATTTGAACCCACGTCTCTCAGACTCCAGCCTGTGTTAGCAGGAGAAAACTAGGCTAAGTACTATGAAAGCCAAGGCTGGGGAAGACATTCACAAAAGAAGTGTCTTAAGATTTCAAATGACACGGGGTGGAGGGTAGCTGAGAAGTTTTAGATGAGAAAAGACTATAGCATCTGTAGTTTACTTGTGTCTTTGCGAAAAGCATTTCAAGTATTATTGTAGCAGTTGGACGTGGAACTGACGTCAGGAGTAGTCTTTGTTTTAAGAAGATTAGCTTTTATTTTTGTTTCTTTTTTGTTTGCTCTTATAGGAAAGGGAAGTGAGTGATTCTGTGTTACAATTTAAGGGGCTTTTCAGATTAAGGAAGGCAAGTTGGAGTTTTTGTGTCATTTTTGTTTTTATGCTGGAATCTTGGTTGTTGGTTGGCGACACTTAACCTGTAAGTAAGTAAGGAAGGAAGGAAGGAAGACATACTATAAGTATTTGTGGAGCAGAACTTAACCTAATTTATACTTTTATTTGAGTGAAAAGTTTTACAGAGTCCTAATAATGAATTTAAAATACTAGGTTGGTAAAAATGCTTAAGACCAAAGTAAATTTCTCTATACCTAATGAAATCTAAGAAATAGGATTAGAAACTGGTAAGTCACACCTTAAATTTGCTTGCGTACTTTTTTTCCTGTCAGTATTGCTGATTTTACTTATTTATTTTTGGAATGTGTGAGTCACTTTTTATGCGTCTTCTGAAATCATATAGGCAGTTTACATATCTTCAAGGTTTACCTTAGGAAAAGCAGTACAAACAGCAGCAGTATGTTTCAGATAATGGCTTTTGTTCTTGTCCAGGTGACCGTTTCAGGTCAGTCATAGATGATGCCTGGTGGTTTGGAACAATCGAAAGTCAGGAGCCTCTTCAACCTGAGTACCCTGATAGTCTGTTTCAGTGCTACAACGTTTGGTAAGCAACGTTACGTTTAGTTCAGCCGGATGTGCTTTACATTCTTCCCCATCTGCTAATAAAGGGGTAAAGATACATCTTTAAAACACTGAAGCAAGTATTTTTATTATTGATTTTCTATAAATTGGTATGCACTATTTAGATTTTTTAATGTAAGGATTTTTCTTCCTTTAAGCTGGGACAATGGAGATACAGAAAAAATGAGTCCTTGGGACATGGAGCTTATACCTAATAATGGTAAGTGTGTGTTAGGCTTTTTTTGGTCTGTATTATGGAATACTTTCTTAAATAAGAACTTTTATTTGCAGCCTACTGCCACATAGGATTGTTGTGAGGATCAAATAGAAAATATTCATTTAACAAATATTTATTGTACACTTACTACCAACCCTGGAGATATGGGAGACTCAGCAGTGAACAAGATAGATGTGATCCTTGCCCATTTGGAATTTAGTGTCTAACAAGGAACACTGAAATTAATTATTACAGCAAAATACAAAAGTGTTTTATTGTTCACCCCTACAAAGTGCATTTGAGGGGCAAAGACATTTCTGTAACTTTAGCAGAATACTTAGGATACAGTAGTTAAGCGGTCTCGTTATTGAGTGAGATTCCTAGCTTGGCCCTGTCATTTTCTATGTGATCTTGGCAAGTTCCATAAAGTCTCACAACTTCGGATTTTTAGGACTCGGCCTTTGAAATTGCCTAAACCTTTTAGATAGGGCTGCTTTGAGGGTTCAGTGACAGGTGGCTACAGTGCTTATTACAGAGTCTGACCCTTGTAAGAGCTCAGTGAAGTAGTCATAATAATAGTAATGATGACCATCATCTTGGTTGTATGTGGTCTGACACACTCAGGATTTAGAAATTTAGCCCTCGCCAGTGATTATGACATTTTCTGGTACTAAAAAGTCAGTGTGTCTGATGCCTGGAGGTTACATTTTCTTTCTACCTCATTTCCCATTTTTGTTTCAATTCATAAAATCTATAATATACATACACAATTGGATGAACCTAAAAAGGATTCAAAAAATATATTCCAGGTTATTAATAATGGTCATTGTATAAAGGGTAGGATTATAAAGACTTTATAATAAACTATTTTTTATGTTATTCTACATTATTTGATTTTAAAAATGTTACTTTTGCTAGCAGATAAAATAAAGATTTTTATAAATTAAGTTGCTCAGTATTTATTGTAATCTAAAAAGTTAGAGAAAAGATAACTGATGCAGAAAGGAAGCCCAGTCTGGTAGACCTTAGGAATGAGAAAATGGTCATACTAATAAGCTAAGTTTAGTTCTTCACAGAAATTACCACTTTGAAAATTTAATGCCAAATGTATTTTTTCATCTCACTGCTGGACTCTCGCTATTTAAAAGTACAAAATACCTTAATCCACGTGTAAGTGTATTGCATGGCTTATCTTCTGGTTTTGTTTCTCCCCTTTGTGAAAATTGGAATTTGAAGTCATTTGGATTATTATGAATGTGAGAGAAAATAAGAAAATAAGTAATGCGTGGTATTTTTTTTATAAATGAATGGGTAATACTAACTTCGTATTTTGTTTCCTACCTAAATATATCTGAGGAGTATGGATTTTTGTTTTTCTGTATGCATTGGTGTGTACCCATGTAGTTAATTATATTCAGTAAGAAGGAAGAATTTTGATGCATACAGTGGCATACTGCCCAGTGTTTCTCTAAGTATAGTCCAAAGGAAAAATTACCTAGCACGTTAAGAGGTTTTGTGTTACAACCACTTTCTAATGATTCTCATAGGTAAAATGTTAACGATTCAGGCATGCAGAAAGCGTGTCCTTCACCATTTTAAAGCAACAAGCTTAGGAATCATTTGTCAGTATTCAAAATTTTCTCTGTTTCTACATTCAGAAATTGAGGCTTTGAATTAAGTATTCCTGAAAAATACAACTTTAGTCAACTTTTACCTTGAGTGTGTTTTATGAAAATAAATACTGCAGTTCATTTATGAAATATTCAGAAAACTTGGAAATATACATCATTTTATATAAATTATTTCTCTTACAACTTGATTATAGAGCAAGGTTTTTAGATATCAGTAATTTTGATCATCTGGAGAATTATTTGTAAATTTAATGGCTTTGAAGAATTTAAATTTTATTGACCCTTGAAATATACTTTTCTTTGTGAAAATAATGACTATTTATCGTATCTTTACAAAATACAATTTTGTGACAATTCTGCTTTCTAAAGGTAACCTAAACATTAACAAGTTAGCTTACGTTTTCACGGGTCTGCTTTTCTGTGTATTTCAGCTGTATTTCCTGAAGAACTAGGTACCAGTGTTCCTTTAACTGATGTTGAATGTAGATCATTAATCTATAAACCTCTTGATGGAGAATGGGGTACCAATCCCAGGGATGAAGAATGTGAAAGAATTGTTGCTGGCATAAACCAGTTGATGACATTAGGTAAATAATAATGCATGAATAAGGAAAAAGCTGGCAGAAAGCAAAATAAAAGAAAAATACCATTATTCAAAGTCCTCCCCTCCCAAATGGCCTTAGTCAGTGGTTTTCAAATTTTTTTAAAACCTGGTATCTTTTTTTTCAAGGAGGTATTTAGATAGAGAATTTCAATAAAACAATGACAAGTGAGCTAATACTAGAGCTGAATTTCAGAGCAAGTGAGTGGGTATCTCTGAAAAACCTAGGTCCTCCACAATTCAGTTTGAAAAACACTGACTTACGCAAGCTGACATGATATGAATTAGAGGAGGGGGGTTGAATGCTGAATTACAATTATATAGATAATTAGACCAATTTCCCCAACTTTGTATGCACATACACAAGAGGAAAGGATATGTGAACTGTTTTGCTTCATTTGAAAAAAAAAGAATAAAACCAGTGGCCGCAAAACTCTGTACCTGAACTCTGGGCGTAAGAAGTCACTCCAGGCTGCTGTTGCAGTTTCTAGCAGCCCCACTGTCAATGAGGAGTCAGCTTCTCAGAGTCTGAGGAGGAGTTAGCTCAGTAGGAAGAGCTAAAGGAGGCCCAGCTTGAGGGTGTTCAGACCTGAAGTCTTAGAAAATGACCATGCTTTCTGAAAATACCTCTAAAATACCATCTAAATAATAGTAGTTTGCGATACGAAGTAGTTTTGTATGTGATTAAGCAAAGAAATTGGGACTGATCTTAAATAGATTCTAGTTTTTGCTCCAACAGTTTCCTGTGTACCGTTAGATCAGTGACATACAGTCAAAAAAATTTCTGGATCTGTTTTCTCCTCTCTGCTTGCCTGATACATCACAAAACAATGTGAAGTTGAGATGGTAAGTCTAGCAAAGGTGTTAACATTTCAGCAACAGTGTGTCAATAACAAAATGGCTGTGTGAAAACCATGGTAATGGGTGCCAGCCATCATTACAGAAGTGCGTGTGTGCTCAGTAGGTCGTGTTGATAGAGTATCCGCCATTGCTTTCTCCTGGTGGATCTGTGAATAAGAAATATTCCTAGAATTCTGCAGTGTAAATGTAGACATAATAAAAAATGAGGCTCCTCACGTCAGCTAAATTGTATATATTTTTCTTTGAAAAGACAGTGGCAGACTAATGTTATGTAGATTAGGACTTTTTAAAGTCTAAATTCAAGCAGAATTATCCTTGAGTTATTTTAGGCATATAAAAATAAATTCATACATATATTTATTCATTTTTAGATATTGCCTCAGCGTTTGTGGCCCCAGTGGACCTGCAGGCCTACCCCATGTATTGCACTGTGGTAGCGTATCCAACGGACCTGAGTACAATTAAACAGAGACTGGAGAACAGGTTTTACAGGTTAGAACCATCTGATGTACCTATGACCAGAAGGGAGCTGGGTGGTCCTTTCACCCATTGACTGATCTTCTGCGGCAGTGTTTCTCAACTTCAGGTGTACACAAGTGCACATGGGAAGCAGCTGGGGAGTGTGTTAATGTGTAGAATAGGATCCAGTAGGTTTTGAGTAGGACCTGAAATCCTGCATTGCTAGCAAGTTTCTAGTACAGGTAATGTTGATGCTGTTGATCTGTAGACTTCCCTTGGAATAAAATTCCTGGATACAGTTTTCCCTAGATGCTGATAGGATTTGATGTTCACTGTCCTCGTGTTTTATAAGGCAAGCTAGAGTATTTGATTATCTCTTAGATAATGTTAAAATACATTTCTTCATGGATTTTTCTGAAATAATAGCAAAATTGTGTATTTCATTTATTTTGCTTATATTCAGCTTAACCATACCTATGAAAAATGACATTAGGAAAGATTCAGACAATTTTTCATAGTTGTATTGTGAAACAGATGAGTTAAACAATCCAGACATAATTTCCAAAAAACTTTCTTTTTGTGACCAGTATTATATTACCATGATTCTGGTTCAGCCCCTGTAGCTCAAGCAGCTAAGGTGCCAGCCATATACACCAGAGCTGGCAAGTTTGAATCCAGCTTGGGCCTGCAAAACAACAGTGATAACTACAACAAAAAAATAGCTGGGCACTGTGGCAGGCACCTGTAGTCCCAGCTACTTGGGAGGCAGAGGCAAGAGAATCGCTTAAGTCCAGGAGTTCAAGGTTGCTGTGAGCTGTGATGGATGCCACGGCATTCTGCCCAGGGTGACAGCTTGAGGCACTGTCTCAAAAAACAAACAAATATTCCCATGATTCTTTCCATTATTTTTTATTTTAACATAGGTTTTATTTATATTCTATACTCCAACATTTTTTCTATATAAAATGTACCTTTAGTTCTTTTTATTATGTAGCTGGCATTAAAAACACTGTCTGTTGGCTCTGCACTTGTAGCTCAAGTGGCTAAGGCGCCAGCCACATATACCTAAGGTGGCGGGTTCGAATCCAGCCTGGGCCCACCAAACAACAATGACGGCTGCAACCAAAAAAATAGCTGGGCGTTGTGGCAGGTGTCTGTGGTCCCAGCTACTTGGGAGGCTGAGGCAGGAAACTCTCTTGAGCCCAGGAGTACACCTTTTGTTGCTCCTTATTGACTAACCCAGGGTAGCTCAGCAGTAGTATTAGCAGCATTATTGACATTTGGGGCTGGAAAATTCTCTCTACGCACTAGATGGCCAGTAGTAGCCCAGCCCCCTGGTTGTAAAAACCAAGAATGTATTTAGCCATTGCCAAATGTGTCCTGGGAATAGAATCATCCCTGACTGAGGACCACTGCTATAAAGAAAATAAAGTATTAAGACTTTAGGTTCTGAGATTCTTCTGATCTTAGGTGTGCTGTTGTTGCTTTGTTGATATTTGTCAGAAGTGTAGAAAGAAGTCCCTTCTGATAGATGCCTCCCCAGCCCTCAAAGCATGCTTTAAGTCTTTTTCAATACCATGTGTTAAAAGTGTAAGAGGAAAATACAGAAGAAATTCTTAACTATATTCCCTTTTCTCTTTAGACCTCTACATTGCCAAAGACAGAAGTTAATTGTAGTCACAGACAAGATACGGGAGGGTGGGAAGAAGAGAAAGAATTGTTTATATATGTGAGGTGTTGGTCTATATAACTAGAAGGATAAACTGGCATCTCCCAATATTTTTATAGATATTTCATAGACACGTGCTGTTCGTGGTAACCGTGAAGGTGTTTTATAGGAACAGTCACTGAACTGGTTCAATTAAGATTTTGTCTTTACTGTGGTGCAGAAGGGATAAGCAACATGAGAAACCATACTCTGGGCTAGGCGCCCAGTCACATACACTGGAGCTGACAGGTTTGAATCCAGCTTGGGCCAGCTAAAGAACAATGACAACTACAACAAAAAAATAGCAGGGTGAGGGAGGGTAATTGGTGGGACCACACCTACAACGCGTCTTACAATACCCTTGTAAGTTTTACCCAAGTGAAACGTGCTAAACGTAGAATATAAATGTCTTAACACAGTAACTAAGAGAATGCCATGAAGGCTATGTTAGCCAGTTCGATGAAAATATTTCAGATTGTATGTAGAACCAGCACATTGTACCCAACGACTGCATTAATGTACACAGTGATGATTTAATTAAAAAAATAATAACAGGGTGTTGTGGCTGGCGCCTATGGTCCCAGCTATTTGGGAGGCTGAGGCCAGAGAATTGTTTAGCCCAAGAGTTTGAGGTTACTGTGAGCTGTGATGCTATGGCACTCTACCCAGGGCAACAGCTAGCTTGAGACTCTGTCTCAAAAAAAAAAAAAAAGAAGCTGTATTTTGAATTTTTTCCCAGGCAAGTGATGCTGGGCAGCATGAGTGAACCACAGCTGCCAGTTGAACACGCAGCTGGAAGGGTGAACGCCTACTCTAGCCGGGGTGTCCAACCTTCTGTTTCCTCTGCTGCACACTAGAGGAGCGAGGGTTATCTTGGGCCACACATTAAATATTCAGATACTAATGAAAGTTGATTAGTGAAAAAGTGGTCTGTGTATCTTTTTCATGATACCTGACACCACAGATAAACAAAAATGTCCTCACAAAATAAGCATGCAGCCTGCAGGCCTCCGGCTGGTCACCCTTTGTACTGTGTTGACTGCTGATCTTGCCCACCTGAGCACGTTTCGTTAGGCTGCACTAATGTGCATTGTCAACGTGTGATGGGCTTATCAGGTTGTAAGTTTATTGGTGGTCAGGAAACATAAAGATGCAATGTATTTTAAATAGGCTTCTTGGGCATTGACATAGCTATCTAATCAATTCAGGGAAAAAGAGACTTTTGGAACATAGTACTTAAATTGTGTTTAAAACTTAGTACTTAAACTCAGTTATAAAACCTCAGTTATGTTCTTATATCATACAGTGATGCCTTCATATGCTATTTCACCACTTAAAACTGTTTTGCTTCTTCCTTTATTCATTGTTTTTAGACCTGAGTTTGTGTTATTCTTCTCTAATTCTTCTAGTTCAGTCTCTTGATAAAAATTATTACCATCCCCTTGTCCTGATATTAGTATAATGCCTTTATACAGTTTTCTATGTGATACACTGAAGATGTCTTTGGTTCTGTTATTAGAGTAAGCTTATAAATCTGTTGGAAATGTACAGGTTTTTTTTATGCCTTTATATCCACAATTATGTTTTTCTGTTCCATAGAATTGTATTTCTGTTTACAAATCAGATTTTCTAAGTGCTTTTTTTTTTTAAGTTATATCTATTTTTTTTTTTTTTTGGCTGGGGCTGGGTTTGAACCCACCACCTCCAGCATATGGGGCCTGCGCCCTACTCCTTTGAGCCACAGGCTCCGCCCTTTTATTTTTTTATTTTTTATTTATTTATTTATTTATTTATTTTGAGACAAGAGTCTCACTTTGTTGCCCTTGGTAGAGTGTCGTGGCGTCACACAGCTCATAGCAACCTCCAACTCCTGGGCTTAAGCGATTCTCTTGCCTCAGCCTCCCGAGTAGCTGGGGCTACATGCACGTGCCACAACGTCCGGCTATTTTTTTTAGTTGTAGTTCTGCTGGGGCTGGGTTTGAACCCGCCACCCTCGGTACATGGGGTCGGTGCCCTACTACTCACTGAGCCATAGGCACCGCCCCTCTAAGTACTTTTTATTATTTTATGTCAGGCCACCTATTGAATAATATTCTCAGAAATTTTCTTCGGATTTTTCTTTCAGAAATAGAATTGTAAAGCAGAATTAATTTTAATATTGTCACTCAAGTGTTCAGAAAAATGTTTCTCAGGTTTATTGGCAAAAGATTACCCTGACTGTTTTTATGCTTCTGTATCTGATAAGTAGGCTATCAATTTAACTTTTAATTTTACATGCCATTTGACTACCAGTAATATAATTTAATTTGTTTTCTTATTTTTATAGAAGTCAGGGGTGTTTGTTACCAAAACATGCTGGCACCCATGACAAACACGTAAATTAAAAACTAAAACTTCCCCCTTCCCCTGAGAGGGGGGAGGTAGATCTTTCCCTTTCCCCAGACAAGGAACTGTTAATAGCCTGGTGCAGCTCATTCTAGACATTTTCTGTGCAAATACATAATGTTCCTCTTTTTTCCCCTAACACAGATGGGGTTATGCTTTTTTGAAAATGGCATTTTAAGATGTGGATTTTGTGATTGATTTATGACTAAAATAGAGAAGTCAGAATATCTTTGGTTTTAAATTGCATACATGTATTTTCAAATATGACATTAAGATCTCTATATATCTATTTTTTTTAAAGGCGAGTTTCTTCCCTAATGTGGGAAGTTCGATATATAGAGCATAACACACGAACATTTAATGAGCCTGGAAGCCCTATTGTGAAATCTGCTAAATTTGTGACTGATCTTCTTCTACATTTTATAAAGTAAGTTATTTTTCATAATTAATTACAAAGTTGTAATCATTAATGGCACTATTTTAAAAAGTAAAATAAAATGTAAACTACAATTATTTTTATATACTTGATGTCACATTCTTGTCACAGAATATTTCCCCTTAAAATAGAAAACTTACAATATCTGTGTCTAAAGGAGAAGAAGCACTTGGTCTAATATTAATTATGGAATTAGAGTTGTATTCTATAGTTAAAATTAAAAAGATACTTTCCTTAAACTGTTGGACAATTATAATAGTGAAGACCTGTTGGACACACAGGTCTGCTAAACTGAATCTTGTGTGTGAGAGAGACCATTATCTGGAATTTCTAATTGAGGAGACTAAGGCTTATCTAAGGTTGGACAGTAAACAAATGGCTGCCGTCTGATTTGAGAACTTGCCGTCTAATATCATCTGTCCTGTCAAGTTTCTGAACAAGTGCTTAAGCAGTCCAGCAGGAAATTGAATCGAACTTTCAGGATTCTTGTCCTTTAGAGCTCAGTTTACTTCCTCATTGATTGGTCCCACAGCAAGATAAACCGTTTATTAAGTCAGAAGCACTTTTCCTCCCTTACCTTAGGAATTTTATATAACCATAGAATGAACCGTGCCTTCTAAATGAAGCCAGAGAAATGAATTACATATTTATCCAAAAGATTGCTCTGTTTTGTATGAATGTTATTATTCACATTGAGTAACTTTTCCCAGTTAAAAAGTAACGATGTATTTTGTTATCAAATACTCAGCTATTATCAGCTTTTATTTTTAAATAAGAGTATTATTCAAACTCTTTATTTTTTAAACATATATAGCTCAGTCTCACTACTAAGCATATCTTTGGGTCCTTTTCCTGGGATTATTGAGTGGTTTTTTCTAAGGAATATAGATAATTTCAGCTTAAGAAAACACCAAACAAAACCAGTAAAGTATAGACGTTGTGTCCTTTCTCTACTTTATTCTTTGAGAAATCCTTTGCTTTCCATGTAGTTCAAGGGTTACTGTTGCTATGGTTTTGCTTTTCCTCAGTAGAATTAGTAATTAAGCATTAATTATCCTCTGAAGACAAAGATATTTAACTTTTATGTTTTATATTTATGTGCATGCACATGTATTTTCTCAAATGAATCAGTAGAATCACTTAATATTCATATTTCTTTCAGTGAAATAATTTTAGATCAGTGGTTCTCAACTTGTGGGTCATGACGCCTTTTTAACAATGAAAATACATTGCAGCATTAGGAAGGTTGAGAACCACTCATTTAGATGTAAATTTTTATATTTGGAACAGTCTGTGAAATGCATTTTTTCAATTAATTACTTTGTTGAAATGCCTTTGAAATGTAGATTAATATTTAAAGTGTTTATAGTATATATCTCAAAAAAATCCTTGGCATTTATTAGATGCGTATAATTTGTTAAAAACCAGTTTGGGCTAACATTAATTTTCACAATGTAAAATGTTTCTTGAAATTTTGATAATTGTATTTTGTTAATTGGAGTATTTGGCAGAATTTCAAGCAGTTGACGTACACAAAGTGATATGGGTAATCTAAATTATCTAAATTGGGTGACGTAGGGAGTACGTGAGTAGAAGTTGTAGTAGGGATCTGATGCTGTAAATGTTAGACCACTTTGTGGAGGGCCTTGAGCTTGACTTTTAAAATATGAGCTGTGTGATCAGGGCTGTTGAAAATATTCTGATGTAAGAATAACATGTTTTTTATACTGTGCCTTGAAAATATATTAATTTGACTGTAACATCTAATATTAATTGGTGGAGAAGACGTGAAGCATGAATAGGGGATTGGCTCTTACAGCTGACCACGTAATAGGTGGAGAGGGCTAAATTTATGAAGTGAGAAAGGGATAGATGCCAGGAGATTTTTAGGGGTGGAATTTATAGGACCAGGCAAGGGCAGGAATAGTGAAAACCCAAGATTCCATGATGGTAAAATGGTGTGCTGGTAATAAGAAAATAGAAAGTAACAAGAGTGTCTGGGAAGTGCCAGTTTTATTTAGACATGTGGAATTTTAGGTGACCATAGATGCTTAGGAAAAAGGCCAGGACAAATTATAGACATTTGGAATGCTTTTACATAGACAAAACTACAGACACGTAAAGTCATCATTGCGAAAGGTATTGTGTTGTAAGAAGATGAATAAAGACAGTTTAACACGTGCATTTAACAATAAAAGAGAATGGGAAGGCAGGCGGCAGGGATATTCACTTTCTCAAGTCTGAAGACGGGAACAAGCGCAGCAGTGACTGAGCAAAGCCTGGGAGGTGAGTTGGGTTTGGGTAGTGACACAGGCTAGGGCAGGGCTCTCCCAGCGTGCAGGGCGCAGGCTCACATGTGCACACGGTCTTGCAGCCAGCCACTGGGGATAGCACATTTGTATTTTAAAACCTGGTTTCTAAAGGAAAAAACTCATGCCTCTAATCTTATATATTAACATTCCCTTCTTGTTATTTAGGGATCAAACTTGTTATAACATAATTCCACTTTACAATTCAATGAAGAAGAAAGTTTTGTCCGACTCTGAGGTATGTTATGTTTCATTATACTACATTGGTATGCTATATGTAGAAAGAAATTTTTACTTTGTAGTTTTCAGGTAAAAGCCATGAGTCAGTAAAGGACTCAAGGATGTATATTAGTTACAGGTCTTCCATTGTATAAAGGAAATACTTTTCAATTAAGCAACTGTAAAGTATAATGAGATCTAGAATGTTTTATAACTCTGGTAAATTCTTGCCTCAAAGGAAGAAGAGAAAGACGCTGATGTGCCAGGAACTTCTACCCGCAGAAGGAAGGTAATAACTTTTGTTTTAGTGCAAGTACCTTAATATGAATTAAAATGTTTTAAGAGTTGTGGAGAGCGCCTGTAGTCCCAGCTACTCAGGAGGCTGAGGCAAAAGAATCGCCTAAGCCTGGGAGTTGGAGGTTGCTGTGAGCTGTGTGGTGCCATAGCACTCTACCGAGGGCGATAAAGTGAGACTCTGTCTCTACAAAAAAAAAAAAGTTTTAAGAGACTTTTTACCCTTAGCATTTCTAAAGACAGATTAAACATTACTTCCAAATTAGGTTCAATTACAAACCTCATGTTTCTTAGAACTTAAGTAAATGGTATTTTCTTTTATTTGAGTTACTGTATATACTGTAATTATGTAAGACTGCATTTAATATATTTTTAAAGTAGGGCACGGTGGCTCACACCTGCAGTCCTAGCACTCTGAGAGGCTCAGATGGATGGATCACCTGAGCTCAGGAGCTGGAGACCAGCTTGAGCAAGAGTGACATCCCGTCAACACCAAAAATAGAAAAACTAGCCCAACATCATGGGGGTGTGGGGGAGGACATCTGTAGTCCGTGCTACACTGGGGCTAAGTCATGAGGCTTACTTGAATGTAGGAGTTTGAGGTTTGCCATAAGCTATAAGCTATGATGTCATGGTACTCTAGCCTGGGCAACAGAATTGAACTGTCTCAAAAAAAAAATAAATAAATAAAAATAAAAATTTTATTCTCTAGTCCCAGCTACAAGGAAGGCTGAAGCAAGAGAATTGCTTGAGCCCAAGAGTTTGAAGTTGCTGTGAGCTCTGACGCCATGGCCCTCTACCAAAGGCGACTTAGTGAAACTCTGTCTCAAAAAAAAAAGAAAACTTACTCTTTTGGTGCTATTTTATCAAAATATTTGAACGTTTTTATTTTAGGACCATCAGCCTAGAAGAAGATTACGTAATAGAGCCCAGTCTTATGATATTCAGGCATGGAAGAAACAATGTCAAGAATTGTTAAATCTTATATTTCAATGTGAAGATTCAGAGCCTTTCCGCCAGCCAGTAGATCTCCTTGAATATCCGGTAAGTACTTTTGAAAATCCTTCATCTGTCAGTTTGCTATATATCTTATGTGTGGCAGTGGCTATATTATTTATGACTGTAGCGTATTTCTTTATTTTTTATGCATGTTCTCATCGTCCTTTTGGTTATATAGAGAATGTAAGTTGAATAACGTGGTGAAATGGAAGCAGCTCTGAACTAGACTCCAAAGAATTGGGTTATGTCTGTTCTTACCAGTTGTGCAGCATAGAGCAAGGCACTTAGTTTTCCCATCTGAACTTTTTTTTACTATTTATTTTCTTCCCCACACTAATTCCATAAATTTGTTAATAGCAATTATCTTGGAAACAAGAATAATATTTACTCTTCATAAGATTATGGAGATGAAATTAGAATACATCAAAACAGTTTTTAAACCTGAAGCACTATATAGAAATGTCAGGTGGCATTTTGTATATTTAGGTGATACCAGTGCCTGATCCTTCTGATGGAATTCATGGCAAGAAAGAGCTAAGTAAACATGATCCA